ATCGAAGTATTTCACAGTTTTCTCAGTCGAAAATTAACTTTTTCGTAAAAATAAGGTCATATTCCGAATCAGCGTGAAAAACTACATCGAATGATATGTCATTTACTTTTATTAGGAGTGAAACAAATTCGCTATGTCCGTATTTCGCGCAGACTGATGTTATACATATGAAGTGCCTCATATATAAAACACGTGGACAAAAAATTACTTTTTATCGAAAAATGTTCCTCCGTTTGCTTGTTTTTTCCATTTATTTACGATCACGCTTCGTCAATCAAGCGGTTTTTTTTCAACTAATCTGTACAAAAAAATCACATGCATGTACATCTACGATACAATATAATATACACACACTATGAGTTACTTTTTCTCAAGGGGGAAAAGCCGTGACACGACATTACCGCGAACGACATTACCGCGAACGACACTACCGCGAACGACGTTACCGCGAACGACATTACCGCGAATGCAAAAAATGACATTACAGTGAACGACGTTACCGTGAAGACTCGTTTATTGGAAAAGAAGAATAAATGAGCCTGGTTTTGTACTTTGTATATCATGTGGAGGGAGGTAGGAAGTGGGGAGAGGGAATTGTGAGAGTGAGTTCGAAAAGTATTTTCACATAAAACATATTATCGTGATGGGAAACTAGATATCCGTGGCTATATCAGATAATGATTAGTCACCACATAACGTCAGTTAAGTTTGAAAACATGATGCACAAAATACAAAACCGGCCTCATGTATTCGGCTTTTCCAACAAACAAGTCTTCGCGGTAATGTCGTTCTCTATATTCGCGGTAATGTCGTTTCTTGTGTTCGCGGTAACGTCGTTCGCGGTAATGTCGTTCGCGGTAATGTCGCTGTATCGGGAAAAGCTGCTCCTGGATCCTCGGATCCTGTGGCTTCTACTGTTTCCTGATGGTTCCTCAAGGTTACTACTGGTTCCTGATTGCTCCTGACGGTTCCTAATGGTTCCTTGTGGACCCTTATTCTCTTGGCTGTAGTCATGGTCTGAATTCGGAAATTTATTGTATGTTTGTGAGTTTGTCCACACGGTAGTAGTTTGAATATATGTCAGAGCAGAAAAAATTCTTTTTAATAGCCCTTCAAGCATAATAGTTCAATATATATAGAATAACAAGTTCTATATTTCGGAGTACCCCTAGGTCCTCAACTGTTATATTTGGGGATATCTGTAGGTGCTCAAGCTAGTGTTTCCAATTAGGCATGTAACAAACCCGAATATTAGGATTCGTTTGGGCTTGGATTCGAAAGATTCGTGTCCGAATAGATTCGATTTCGAACTATTCCGGATTCGATTAGGTTCGAATTTGCGACGATTCGACATTCAAAAACTTCGCGAGAAGAGCAGTGAAACAACGTCGCACGTGCAAAATTTGGGCTTCTATTCTAATATCTATGGACATGCTTTTCGAACGATCTAGGGCATTCAGTTCATTCTTTCCTATTCTGTGTGTCGCTTAGTTTACGAGCGATTCGCTCGTTTTATATGAACGACGTGGCAAAAGGCAACAAGGAAAGAAAGAAGGGTCCCTTTCGAGGATTTCCCTAGACCGTACATATTCGTCGTCTGGATGACAAAATCCAATAACATTGGTGGGGCTGATTCCGCTGCGCTTTAATCCTGGTCAACTCATACCAATGGGTTACTGCTACTACCGATTTTCGCAGGTCACTTCCTGATTATACCTTGAACAAGCGCACCCCCCAGAGTTGGCCTTTTTCGTGTCAAACGTTATCGCTTGACATCTGAGAATGTCGCTGCCACCGTAATTCTGAAAGAGAAACTCGACAAATTGATGAACTTTCAAACGAACGTAACGTAGGTCCTTGCTGTGTTTAATGTGTTTAGAAGCAGATCTTTCTGATCTGGTTAAAATCCAAACTAGGTGTTCTAAGTTTCTTTGAAACTCAATAATTATCTTAGTACTGTACATTCGAAGTATCTCGAATTTCGAATCTTGACGAACCCAGGGTTCGTCGAATCCGAGCCCAATCGAACCTCAAATCTTTCAAATCCGAACACTTTCGTATCCACATCTGTTCGAATCGAATTCGATGGACTCTTCGGTTCCGATTTGGATTTGATGCATGCCTAGTTTCCAATAGCGTATGTGTTCAGTTAGAGCACGCATCTGTGGATCATGATCTCCAGTGAGTGTCAACTCCACTTTCCAAAGCCGATCATTTCCACCGATTTTTTCGATTTCTCCGATTCAAAATATAGAATGCATGG